AGTGTTTAATAGAATATCATCGTTTGGGCTAATACCTAACTTTAATAAAAGTGTGTTCTTTAAAAACAAAGTGAGGTTCCTGGGTCATGATATTGACGCTAAGGGGATTCATGCTAATCACAACAAAATTGAAGCAATAATTAATATGCCAGAACCAAAATCAGCTGCTGAATTATCAACATTTCTGGGAATGGCTGGCTACTATAGAAAATTTTTGAACAATTTTGCGGAAATTGCCGATCCTCTTTATAAGATTGTCAACAAAGAAAAATGGGCTTGGAACCTAGAACACTCTAAAAGTTTTAATGATCTAAAGAAGTTAATTAGTCTTCCACCTGCTTTGACATATTTTAACCCTGAATTACCTATAGGGATAGCCACTGACGCATCAAAATGTGGTTTAGGAGCTGTACTATTTCATATTGAAAAAGATGGTAAAGAAAAACCTATAGCTTTCGCGTCGAGAACTTTATTAAAGTCTGAAATGAACTATACCAATATTGAGCGTGAGGCTCTCGCTATAATGTTCGCTATAAAGAGATTTCAGGAATATTTAATCGGCACAAAATTTACAATTATTACTGACCATAAGCCTCTAGTTCACATCTTCACCAAGGGTCTTAAGGATAATAGCACCATGTCGTTAAGACTCCAGAAGTGGAATATTACATTAGGGGGATATGATTTTAATATAAAGTATAAAGCCGGTAAATATAATGTTGTTCCTGATTGCCTTTCGAGATTACCACAAGAATGTCGTGATGAAACTATTGAAAATGTAACCATTATAAATGAATATGAGGACTTACCTATTAACTTTGATCAAATTCGTGATGAAACTTTGAAAGATATGGAATTAAAACAAGTCATAAATGATATTAATAACAACAGAACTATAATGAATAATATTTATAAAAACATTGAATTGGAATTAAGTATAATTAAGGAATGTCTTTACAAAAGCAATAAAATCATAATTCCGTCTTCTATGAGAAAAACTATACTACAGTCATTACATGAAGGTCACTTGGGAGCAGGAAAAATCAAATCCTTAGCCAAAGATTACATGTGGTGGCCTGGCATAAATAATGATATCGTTATGGAAGTGAAAAGTTGTGACGATTGTAATATATATCATGATAATCCTATAAAGATACAAAAACCATGGGTTTCGGCAACCAAACCGTTTGAAAGGATACATATAGATTATGCGGGTCCGTTTTTCACAAAAAATTGGTTGATAATAGTCGATGCCTACAGCAAATTTCCAATTATTATTCCTGTTAAAAATATTACGACTGATGTTACTTTAAAAGAAATCTTTAAAACTATTTCGCTATATGGAATACCTGAAACTATAGTTACTGATAACGGCACTAACTTTACGAGTAACGATTTTGAAAAATTTTGCAACAACTTTGGTATTAAACATGTGCTTACATCTGCTTATCACCAGAAATCCAATGGCCAGGTTGAACGCATGGTTAGAACGTTCAAAACACATATGAAAAGGAATATTAAAATAGACCCAGATATCGCACTTAGCAAATTTTTATTTAATTACAGAAATACGCGTAATGATACTACAGGAGTTACACCATCACAGAGAATGTTTAATCGAGATATTAGAATTAAATGGGACTTATTAAAACCGATGGAGGAGAAGGAGAATAAAATAAACGTTACTTTACCACGAAATAGAACTTTTAACGTAGGAGATTTTGTTTGGTATAAAATACAAGGTGATGATAAATGGTGCAAAGGTATGATCACACATAAAGAAAGTGATATGATGTTCCAAATTAAGACTGAGAAAGGTATTTTGAGGAGACATTTAGATCAAATAAGAATTAGAAACTGTTTTAACACAATTATTAACTATGACTCTAAGGATTCTTTTAAGGAGGGAAGTATGGACAAAAATATAAAAATTACTGATAATAACGATATAACACCTATCTTTAGACCTGTGCGAATAAAAAAAAACCTGCTTATTTAAAAGACTATGTAACTTAAAATATAAAATAAATATTAAATTGTATAAAGTAAATTAAATGTTAAAACGCTTATATTAAAACGCAAGAAATTAAAACGCAAGAAATTAAAACGCTAAAAATATAACAATCTTATTGATTTATCATTCTTCATTTATTCTTATGATAAACTATTATTTCTTATTCGCAACTTATTTATGATAATAACAATTTCGGAAAAATGATAATAACAATTGAGCACTATCAAACAAGCTATGATTAATGGAGACAATTTACGATATGGATATCAAGCTTGTGATTAAACAAACCAACGTGCAAAATCGAATTGATCAAACCAACGATTGGGACAAGCCAACGTTATGATGATTTGTGATACAACTTGATTACCAAAACGATAAACCACTTGGACAACAAACTCTCTATGACTTCTCCGATGAAATTATCAGAAGAGGGAGAATGTTGCATTATTCTAATTTTATTATTTATTACAATATAAATTTTATTTTTTGTTATAATCTAATTTTATTTTATAAACGGCGTAACCTTACTTTTTTTATATTATTTTACTTTTTTGTATTTCGTTTATATTCTAATTTGGACTTATAAAAAATGTATATAATAGAAGTGTGAAATGGAAAAAATAGTATTAATAGTATTAATAAAGTTAAATATAATAAAACACCTTTTTACCTTTGTGCACACATTCATATCGTCACCATCCTTATTCTTTTCAGTGCCCTGGCTCTGGGTGGTGGACTAGAAAAAGATGACTACCTAATCTACTGAGATGACTATCTAACCTATGGAGACTGCTTAACCTATGGAGATGACTACCTATTGATATGACTATCTTATCTATTGTGACTGCCTAATCTATTGATATGACTAATGCATAATCTATGGAGATGACCAAGAATCAAACCTTAGCACGTTCTTTCATGCAAAAAGCTTCTTTCTTTATGGTGTCCTGGCTCTGGATGTTGGACTGGAATATGATAACCAGCACCTAACCTAATGTGACAACCTAGAAAGAACTGATATGGAAGTTGAACGATAGGTTATGAATTCTATTTTGTGAGACCAATGATGATTACTTATTATTCTAATCCACGTAAGAAGAAAAGATATTATAAATTAAGATTTTATGCCAGGATTAAGGCATGTTATAAATTTTTAAAATCACTAAAATGTAAAATCATAATGGATATATTTGAACACACAAAAAGCCTTTAAAAAATTATTTATAATTTCTTAGTGAAATATTGATACTAAAATGTAAAATCATAATGGATATAGACCACACAAAAAGCCTTTAAATAATTATTTACTTAAATTCTTAGTGAAATATTATTTTTTGATTTCTTGAATGATGACCAATTGTTGTAAATTAACAACTAATCCTAAAGATGAATTCTTAGATATAATTAAATATAAACCATTAAAAATCCTAAACAAGAAGATAAAACTTTAATTTTAAATATATTAAAATGTAATTAAAACATATGAATTAAAAGGGATTGATTTAAATAACCATAAGTAATGCTTAATATGATAAAAATGTTTTTGAAATAAAGCTTTTGAAGATTAGATAAATATTTAAATGATGTGATGAGATCATTTTCTAAAAATTAGAATTTTTATTAAAAATAACACTTTTTGAATTAAAACTAGGGTGTGAAATTTAAATTTTTTATTTAAAGAGAGGGAAATGTGAATAATATTTTATTTGCATATTTTAACCTCGGAGATTGAAAATAAATAAAAATAAATTAAATACTAAAACGCAAATTAATTAAACACTAAAACGCGAAAAAATAAAAGTCATTAAAACGCGAAAAATTAAAACGCTAAAAATATAACAATCTTATTGATTTATCATTCTTCACTTATTTTTATATTTTTATGAACTATTATTTTTTATTATTCGCAACTTATTGATGATAATAACAATTTTGAAAAATGATAATAATAACAACGTCACGATTTGTAAAACATTCGATATGGATATCAAGCTCACGATTTAAACAAAAACGAACAAACAACGATTTGGACAAGCCAACGATTAGTGACTTATGCAACATTGACAACCAAAACGAAAAACCACTTGAACAACAAACTCTCTATGACTTCTTAGATGAAATTATAGGCTTGTAGAAGAGTGAGAATGTTACATTATAGGAATTTATAAATTAAAATATTGGTTATTGAATAGTATTTTATTTTTATATTGCATACATTCATTATATTTTTATTTGGTTAGGAATTCAAATTCAACTTGTATTACTATTTATGAATTCAAATTTATCTTTTCAATTCAACTTTTTAATTTTGTAATTCAACTTATATTACTTATTATTTTTCGTAACCTTACTTTTTGTTTTTATATATATTCTAATTTATATTTTAGAAAATGTATATATACCTTAAGAAAAGAAAAAGAAGTTAGTTAATAAAATATATTTTTACTGACTCGCACCTCGCGCCAAATCGTTAGTTGCATGGCACCATGTAGAGTAACATGAATGTGTGCACAAAGGTAAAAAGGTGTTTTATTATATTTAACTTTATTAATACTATTAATACTATTTTTTCCATTTCACACTTCTATTATATACATTTTTTATAAGTCCAAATTAGAATATAAACGAAATACAAAAAAGTAAAATAATATAAAAAAAGTAAGGTTACGCCGTTTATAAAATAAAATTAGATTATAACAAAAAATAAAATTTATATTGTAATAAATAATAAAATTAGAATAATGCAACATTATCTATTATTTTTTTTAGGTATTATGAAAAGTTATTATATGTGAATTTTATATTTGCTGAAAAATGATCTGTAAAATTCAGAATAGTTATATTTTTAAACCAAGACAGTAGAAAAGAATTTATATACCCGGGCCGAAATTATTTTTTCTAAAGATATCCGGGTCAAATTATTTTTTATAATCCTGGCCGGGGCACAAATGGTACCTCCTCAAAATTTAACTTTGAAAAAAGTAACCTATAAACTAAGGCCAATATATTTAGCATGGTTGCCACGTCGGGGTGATTATGCCCACTGGTTTTCTCTAAATCTTCCAAGGCTTGTTTGCATAATGGGATCGCTACTTCGTACCTAAAAGGAATTTAGATAAAAAAAATAATTATATTAAGAATTTGTGTTTTATATATATATTAAACTTAAAAATAGGTCGTTAATTGTCACGACATAATAATTTTTCTCGAATCAAATGTGTAACTCATACTCTAAAAAAGAAGAGATTTTTTTAATCCCGTAAAAATCCTCAAAATTCTATAATGATCGTCGCAAAAAATAGCCTTAACTAAAATATCATGTTATGAGTGCTATTATGATACCATCTTTCGATATCAAAACATATAACATAGTGTTGTTAAACGGCTAGATTTGAGCCGATTTTTAAAAACGACTAACTCAATATTTTAGCCAGAAAAATATTGTCTAAGCCTCGAGATTTGGGTTAATAGATGTTCAAACCTTTATGCCACCTATGAGCAAAATTCTTAAGGGTTGCATAATATTCTTCTGGATAAAATATGTTAGCCATTTTTAAAAATCGGCTCAAAATGAGCCGTTTAACAACACTACATATACAGGAACAAAGCAACAGATACCAAACGCGGTATCGGGCAAAATAACAGAAATTTAAATCAATACCAAGCAAAAAAACCCAAAACCAATTAAAACAACCGATAATAAAATATATACTAAACAAAATAACCGATATCAAATTATAACCAATACCAAAATCGATACCGGATAACAAAACTCGATACCGGTCTAAATGGCCTATATTCGACGAAACCACCGATATCGATTTAAAAAGGAGAAGATAAATTCGTCATTATTATAGAATAAATTTTTTTATTATAAATATAGCCTAGTTATTTTCTTTTAAAAAATTTATGATGGTTAATAATCATTCGGTCAAATAGACAGAATGAAAGAAACTCTTCCAAACCTATAAAAAAAAATTTTTTTTAAAACCTTCTCTGGGCCGCGTACTGGATGACTAAATTATGCAGGGTCCTGAGTCTGGCTGGTATTTCGTAGCCGCTGCTGTTCAGCATGGAGTTGGAACCGGCGCTTTTGTGCTGACGGCCAGAGTTAGAAGAGTTTAGATGGTTTTTGATGGAGGTGTTATCGTTTGGGTCCGATGTTTCCACGTCGTCAAAACCGAGATCTAAAAGGGTGGAGTCGGTGTTGATATTGCTGTTTAGTCGGTGGTCCCCTCCGCTTTCCTAAAAAAAACGCAGGATGTAAGCGGTTAACAAAGATTAAGGCACATGTAGTGTAAAAAAGAATTGGGAGGGGGTAAGCACTTCTAGACTCCCCTCGCCCCACTTAAATAAAAGTAAGAAAATTCAAATTAGAAAAATCTATAGCCTTTCATCCTCTCATTGTGAGAGTGTTTTCGCCCCCCCCCCTTTTAATTTTAACAATCTTATGTTTCACATTCCCTCCTCAGTAGTAGAAGTAATTGGGGGATCCAAGCTGTAATGAGATTTATATATTACATCTTTTAAACCTGCCTGCATCATAATGAAGGCTTTAAATAATATCTAATGAAGGGCCAACTTTCCTATCAGAAATAAAAAAGAATCACCATAAGCTGAATAATTACTTAAATTAATATCCTCAAAAATGATGTTGTATGTAAATAATACAATTAGTATTATCGACCATATATTCAAATTTTTATCTAAAAAAATCTTGACCATTGGCCCCAAGGGGAAATTCCTGGCCATAAGATTGATTTCATATCTCATTTTTTTTTTGTCAAGATAGATTTCCAAAAGTTTAGCAAATCATCTGTAAGAAACATATGTTCTTTTTCTTTTTATATACTCTTCCATTTTTTTATTCGTCTAATATGCGGATCCCCTCATCCATAGTTAGCGCGAATTAGCAGCGAATTATACAAAATACGCTGTTATCTGATTCTCAAAATTAAACGCGTTTTCTCACCCCGTAACTCGCGGTTAAGTTGGAGTCGTCGTCGTATTTTTTGATGTCGGCCATGTACTCCAGATGCTTGTTCTGTTCTTCCAAGGAGGCCACGTTCTGTTCACTGCTTATGAGTTTCTGTTGGGTGTTGGCTAATTCGTCCCGTAACCAGGAATTTTCTTGGCATAGTCGGCGGACTTGGGTCTTGAGCTTTTGCTTCTCGGATTCGTTGCTTTGCCAATGGTTGGAAAGGGTCATCATAATCTAATATTTTTTAAAAAAATTAATAGATAAAGATTTTGAGCTGAGCTAGTAAGAATAGTTGGGTAATTAATTGCTCTATTTTTAAGCGGAAACTATCACATTAGTCTATTCTTTTTTTTTTTGAAAATATTGTTCAACTTTGAATAAAACAGAAATAAGAGTAACTGGCACCCTTCAATACTTAGCGGAATATTCTTTGGCGCGCGTTTTTTTTTAAGATTAAGCCGAATTGGGCGATCATTAGCCATTATCCAACTATAGTAATAAAATTTTTTTTAAAAAAATGTTTGCCACTCTAACTGAAATCGTCCAAAATAAAAACAATTTTCAAATCCAAAAAAAAAATCAGCTGATCTTGCAAAATATTACTTTAAAAAAAAATTGACAAATCGAAACAATTTGTTTTACTAAATGATGTTTTTAATACCTTAGAAAAGATTCCCAGCACTATACTCCTATTATAATTCTTACTCTAAACAAATTCGTTTATTTTTTGAATTCCAATATATTCCGAAGCGACGAAATTAAAATTTTTTATAAGTAAAATCACTAGAAAAAAATTATTTAGGCGTATTTTATTTTTTGAAAAATTCGACTCGAAAAATTAAAATCATATTTTATTCATTTTAATACCCAGGGAGAAAAAAAAAGGAAATATTAGTGCTCTGGTTATTTTGATCGATTGCTTTGACTTTTTAATTATATTATTTTAATATATTTTTAACTTACAAAATAGAAATTATAAATATATGCCTGTTTTGCTCATTTAGCCCCCAAAATATTTCGAATTCAACCGCGCAAAATGTTTACAATTCCTAACTCGCCCGTAGTAATATCGGACGTCGGTGAGCTAAAACCTACCCGTATTTACAAACCCTATATGAAAAAAAAAATCCCTATCTAAAAATAACGAAAATTCTGTTTTCCTTTCAAGTGCTAAAAAAAGGTATTTTGTACTTTATTTCTTTTAAAGAATATTTTTTTGTAATTTTGTATTTTATGGGCATAGAGTAGATATCGGCATTTTGCTCGTAAATCTTATTTTTTTTAAGAGCTTTTAATTCGAAATTTAAGTTTTGTGTCTGACGAGATAAATAGTTTCGATTATATTTATGTAGATAATTGTTAGCAATGTCTAGAGCCTTTATAAAAAAAAATATAATTGGATTGGAGTCAATGAGCTAATTAAGATATTTAAATTACACCTCGAGGGGATTTATGTCGAATAATTATTTCCTCGAAAGCCGAAATAAAATGAATATCGACAACTAAATTTAACCGAGGCGAACGCGTGGGACAGGATTCGTTCAAAATTTACTTCCGTTTCCGTTGCGAAATCAAGAAAAATGGAATTTAAAGCTAGAAAAAAAATATCCAGCGATATTTAATAACGAACAAACCAATAAGTCTAAAAATCAATACATAATAACATCATTTTATTTTTTAAAAAAAAATTTTCTTAAAATCATTACAACCAGAAGTTGATGGAATTTTCCTAAACGTAATGTATTATTTATTTATTTTTTTAAATTGTTATATAAAAAAAAAAATCGATATTGCATTTAATACGATAATGGAATTTTTAGCAATGGCTAACATGGGAAATAAAATAGACTAGGAAAATATATTTTTCTTGTCATTCCTTCTACCAATCTATATAACCCGTCCCCCAGCTTGATAAAAAATAATATTATGTAATATAGAGGTTTGCAAATATAGGTTCAGACCCTTCTGCCATCTATGAAAAAAATATCCAGGCTTATACAATATTATTTTGGCTAATCGGGATTTTAACAACTCTACATCTACCCACTAGTGGAATAGTGTCATTCGAACAAACAAAAATTCTTAAATATCTCTATTTCCTAGCTTTTTTTTAGAATTTTATAAAAAATGTTTATTTATTCAAATCTTTTTTTTATTTATTTTCAAACCTGAGCTTCGTTCAATCCCAAATCGATCATCTCGATCAACTTGGAAACTATGTTCGCCTTTTCCTCCACCATTTCCATTTCCGGTTGATCTTTTTTGGTGGATTTGAGAGTATAATTCACGCTGTTGAGTATCCTTCAAAATAATGATGGGAAAAAAAACCATCAAAATTCTTCTCGTATTTTAAAAAAATAATCGATTAGGAAGGGAAATGTTTTGAACTTTAAAGGAAAAGGTTATTCAGAATAAATATCTTAATAAAGAGAAATAGTGAGCTTGATCCACAAATTATATTTAAATTTTTAAACGATCCGATAATTTCGGATAGTTATCCAAAACCGATCCTATAAGCGGCATAAGTCGCCAGATCAATTTTGTGCGAATATCGGATAAGAGGAATTAGAAATGTGAATTTCGCGAATGAAATAAAAAATATATATAAATGATCGCTTACGTATTGTGTTCGCTTTTAAGGGCCTCGAGTCCCTGGACCACCAGCTTAGTGCTAGCTACGATCTCATCCTGAGATGGGGTTGAATTCATTTTAGCCAGCTCTTCTATCTTCTTACTACTTTGAAAAATGTGACATCAAGAAAGAAAGAGTATAATATAATACTTAAAAACAATTAAAATTAGAGGTCGGGGGCCTCGGCGGAGTCAAATGATTATCAGGCCGGACAACTTGTGCCATATATTAAAAGCCGGGCCGGAAACACCGATCAAAAATTATCAGTGGTCGGTTTGGTCCGTCCTGGAAATTCGTTCTAATTAAATAGTAATACTAATAATACGATTTTTACCTTCTAGGAATATATTTCATATTCGATTACGAATATATATAGGAAAGAATGATATAACTTAACAGAAAAATATCAATTTTTAAATGAGATAAAGTTCAAAATTTGTGATATTAAATATTTGAATGATAAAATAAAAAAAAATTTTTTTAAAAAAAAACAAAATGACAATGAGTCGAAAATATTTGAAAGAACCAAGTTATTTGGCGTAGGGATAAAAAAAATGTTTTATAATATAAATAAAAATATTATTGATGCATACTATCGTAATATAGCCTTTCGACATATTTATCCACAAAGTATATATGGATCGATAAAAAAATTAAAATAATATTTGGCTCTAAAATAAAGGCAGAAAAGTATTTAACAATTAGTAAAAACTATGGCATCAGTAACATTGTTTAGAGGGAGAATGAGCTTTAAAAATTTTAAAATCTCCTAAAAAATTGTTAATTTTTAGATTAAAATTATTCTTATTTTGCTAAATTTTTAATTAAACTTCCATTTTTTTTGCTAATTTTAGAGATTTATCTTTTAGTCCGAAACACGACGCGACTATAGAGTAATAGGAGAGAGGGAGTTAGGGGGCGTAGAATTTCGGGTAATTTAACTCATAAAGAGGGTGGTGTTATTTTTTAAAAAAATAGGTTTTTTAGGCATGGATGGATAAGAGGTTAAGATAAACGAGCTCCCAAGATAATAGCGAATTAGTTTTTAAAAAACTAAATTTATCAAAAACTTAAATATATTCTTGGATGAACTGGATTCGCCATATTATGATTATAAAATTTTAAGAATTATACGCGTAAAGATGAAAAGATTAAATTTTAGTTTTAAAAATAAAATATAATATATTAACATTTTATTCGGGTTTTCGCCCGAATTTCCTAGATCTCGTCCAACCCAAATAGTGTTGTTAAACGGATCGATTTGAGTCGATTTTTAAAAACGGCTAACTAAAAATTTTAGCCAGAAAAATATTGCCCAAGCCTCGAGATCTCGTTAATAGGTGTTTAAAATGGGAAAAACCTTAAGACCCACATAATATTTTTCTGGATAAAGTATTGAGTTAGCCGTTCTTAAAAATCGGCTCAAAACGAGCCATTTAACAACACTAGTCGAAAGATCAAAAATTAGACACGACCATACAGATTATCACGTAATCTTTAAATTCGTTTATTTCTACCAATGAATCCTTAGGTTCCCATAGGTTATCATTTTTTTTTTAATTTTAGGCAAAAATAATAATTGGTAAATTAACGAGGGTAGCGAAAAATAGATAAAAATATATTTTACATTTTTTGTGATCGAACCCAGGTAAAAACAACAAAATTATAAGAGTTTTGGTGGACCGAAAACCTAAGAGCGCAAAAAATTTAGTATGTATAGGCATTTACGTATTAAAAATGGGTTTTGATGTGCCGGTAAATGGCGTAAGATGTGCTCCATGTTGTGAAAACTTTTGAAAATGTTATGAAGGAATTCTTTGGCGGTATTTTAGCTAACGGGAACCATAATAGAGTTAAACTATCGGGAGCGATAATTTGGTGCTTGTTGTTTAGAAAGCATAATTCAGTTTTATTTATTTTAAACTTAAGGCCGGTAGCTTGGGAATTGGTTTCCAAATATTTTAAAGCGCTAAGTTAACTGAAAGGTCAGAGATGGTTCGATGATTAAAATACTACTGATTAATTTATAAGTTGAAACTTGTTTGATTTCGAAAATGAGATGATGGATTTTATAAAGCAAAAATAGAAAAAGTCTTTTTGGATACCCTCGCTGTATGCCTTCTTGGGACAGAATCTGAAAAAGGTTCGTATGTTAAAAGCATTTGAAATCCATATGAGGATTCAATAAATTTAAAGGAGTAGGGAAAAGTATCCTTGTTTACAAGAAAGAGATGATAAAATTTTACTAAAGAGTTTATTTTTTTTTATAAATAGATAATAATGTAAATAAATATGAAATTCGAAGAAATTCGTAAAAGCGAAATATCTGTAGTTTTCTGGTTTAAAAGTTGTAAAGTAAATATAAAAACCCGTGGTACAAGATGTAAAAAAAATTATTTATTATTTAATAAAAGATCTTTAATAGGGCTACAAAATGATATATAATTTGTATTTTAGCATCATTATTTTTTAATTATTATAAAAAAAATTTCAAGTCTTATTATTAAAATAACATTGTTTATAAAAATAGTATTTTATATTCGATAAAATTTTTAAAGTGTATCTTGTTACTTATATTGCGATGTATTTTTATTTGAAAATTTTCCTAACCCTGTATAAAATATATTTTGAGAAATGTTAAGTCGCCATTCATTTAACTCTTTTCAAAGAGTAATATTGATAGTTTTAAAATTCAATAAATTAAAATCCATTAGATGGCGTAATAAATAGCTAAAAATATAGTCATAAATAACGTTTTAAAGACATTGTAAACAAAAGGTTTTTTTACATTTTTTATGGTCATAGCAAGAAGAGGTCTTAAAAAATTTAAAATTATAATATTTTTGGTGGACCGATAACAGTTACCCTCGACATTTTTCGAAGATCTTTATCCATGTGTAGAAATCCATTTCTGGAAAAAATGAATTAGTAATCAATGGAACGGATTACGAAAAATAAAAGGAGAAATGGTAAAAAGATAAACAGTTTGCCTAGAATTTTATCTGCCTATTCCAGGTTAAAACCTACCGGAAGTGACGCAGCAATGGCCAGATTTAGATCTTTTATTTTTCTTTAGAATATAAAGTCTAAAAAACAATATTATATATTATTTTATCTCTAAATGGGCCGGAAGAGATTCCTTACTCAAAAATAAATAAAAAGTTTAAAAGATTTTTAAAGTTGAGATTCTATTTTGGAAAATTTTTTTTTATAATAAATAAATATATTGTGAATGAAATCACAAATTTTTTGATCTTCTTTAAGAATTTTTTTTTTTTACAATTTTGTTGACTTTCAAAGATTTTTACTCAAAAATTTTTTTAAATTCTCATTTGAAGATTTTTGTTAAACTCTGGTTTAGAAGCAATACCCCAAAAAATCATATTTAATTAGTGGACTAACTAGTTAGTCTTCTACCTGACAAATCTGGTTTCACTCACCTCATTTCGCCTATAGGAAGTGAGATAGCAAAGGCCAGATAAGCGCAGGATTTTTTAAAATAAATCCATTTCATCTATATAAAGTTCTAAATGCTCTCTTTCCCTCGCAATCTTTAATTCTTGGCTATCTGGTGGGTGTAAAACTGGTTATTAGGTATCAGTTTAGCCCCCCCCCCCGTCACCCAACATTTTTGCAGTCTCAGTGCAATATCATTAAAAAAAACTTTCACTAATCGAACTGCATGTCCATACATTTGGAAAAATATCTTTTTAAAAACAAGATAAAAGGAATTCTTGCACCTCAAGATCCCCAATTATAGCAAATATTGTTTTTGAGGGGCAGATATTTTTGCTTAGGCTGAGCCTACATCTCAATTTTTTCATGGACAGGAGGCGATTTCAAAATTTAGGCGCATACAAAGGTTCTGCGTAGTAGATTTAGAATTTCAGTTGCGACGGACAGACTCCCTCCTCCCTCTTACGCTAAAGCATAAATAACTACCAGGTTACATAGTAAGATGGATTTATATAAATAACATAAATTTTGAAATTATTCATTTTTTTTAAAGAATGGGGTTAAATGTTATTCGAAAACGATAAAAAAAAATTAAATAACTCTTATTTAATTGGAATGTTTAATTTCACAATACCGTTTCATTCCACCGGGTAAAAAAAAAATAGTAAATAGGCACGGAATTATATATAAAAAAAATGAAAATATTTTTAATAAGGGAAAGAAAGATTTTAGCACATCGATAATAATATATATTTTTTTAAAATAAAATAAATTCCACAAATCACACAATGTGTGCACAGGGTGATTTGCTTTTCTTCATATATATTTTTTTTTAAATTTAAACTTAAGTAAAATATATATATGTATATGTATGTCGTCGTAAATATTTTAATTGTATTATTATAATATCGATTATAATTCAATTAGGTACAAATAAATAAATAAAAAATATACAAAAGGTGGTGCTCTTTTTTAAAATATTAGGATAAATCTACAAACTTGATTAAAATAAAATCTTTTCCCAGAAAAAGTCTTTGAAAATCAGGAAATTGAATATTTTGATGCAAAAATCTCACCGCTTATAATAACAGGGCTTTTTAAGGAAAGGCAAATTTAATAGGGTGTCAATCAGTTTTCGATAATATATTTGATAAAGGCTTAGATCATCATTATATATATAAAAAAAATTGTTTTTAGAGTGGCAGGTGTGGATCTCAGATATTAGATATATTGACTGAATAGTTCGATCCCAGCTCGGAAGTTTTTTCCACTCAAATCCGCCTCCTTGAAAAGTAGGATGTACTAAGGTAAGAGCGATTCTGTTTAGCCGAGCGTTGTTTAGTAAACTTGCTATACGTTGACAGGCCTCATTATTATTACCTTTACCCAGATTTAAAAAGCAGCGTTTGAAATCTAACCTTAAAAAAAAGAGTTTTTCCCCCTTAAATTCTTGGATATAGAAGCCAGAAACAAGCTGTAAATCCTAAAGTTCCCGTTGGGCATAAGAATAACTCAGAATGGTACGCGGGAAAAGGTTAATGCTTTCTCTTTGAATACTTTGAAGAAGTTCGATATTATATGAGTTATTTTCGAATTCTTATTTAAGTATTCGTTACATAAATAATTCGATTGTTTAAAAAAAACTAGTTTATCGTATCATAACTAACAATAAGTATAGCTATTTATTATTTTTACTTATAAACTTTATTTTAAATAAATATTTTGATTTGGTGTTGGAAAGGAAATAAATTTTATCAAGTCAATATATCTATCTATCTATATATATATCAATAAATCAATATTACTAGACAAAACTAATTTGTACAAATAATGTTGATTTATTAAAAAAAATTTTATTAACACTAGTAGTGTTGTTAAACGGCTCGTTTTGAGCCGATTTTCAAAAACGGCCAACTCAATACTTCATCCAGAAAATTACCCGAGCCTGAAAATTTTGCTTATAGAAGGAATCTAGACAATATATTATCGAAATTTTGAGGCTTAGGCAATATTTTCTTGCAAAAATCGGCTCAA